AACAGAAATACTTAAATTTATAATTCTGTAATACCTTATAAATTCTTGTTATCATAAAGATATTTTTATAATCAGTTATCTTTGTCTATTGGGAGCTTTGTTACTTTTGATAGTAATGTTAATTGAGGAATGTAAGAAAACCAATGTGTTTCAGTGCCAGGAGGTAAGCATTAGAGTAAGAAGCAGTTATATTTTTATGTTCCAATTTTTAAGAATATTTTTAATTGTAACATTTCTGTTATGTTTTTCCATGAAGAGTTTAGAGGTCATGCCAAGAAGAAGAAAGAAGGAGAAGGAGACTCTGAAAGATTTTTTTTTGAGGAATCCAGCCATTTTTGAAATGGCAGAACAGGAAAGGTATTAATGAATTAAATCAACACAAGTTTAGTTGAGCATTGTGTGTTGGGCATGAATTTGGGTACTAGGGATATACTGGTAAACCTGACGGGAAATAATTAAACTCAGTGGGTCATACACAAAAGGAGACATAAAAGTAGAAGGGACTTGTTGAGAAGAAAGTTCCAGCAGGAGAGGAAGGGGGCATGAGAGAGGGGAATGGTAGGTACAAATGACTAGAATTCATTATAGACATATGAAACTGTCAGACAATAAAAAAACAAAAAATAACTCCCTCCAAGGAGCTTTCACATTATAATAAAAACAACCAACACAAATTAGACTGTGGAAAATCTTGTGATGGGGCACATTACAGAGTACAGAGTCATTGGTGGCAGCAGTGGTTGACACTGAGTTGGAATTGCTTTCAGAAAGTTGGAAAAGTTTCAGAGAACCTAACGTTCTTTCTCTATTTTAACTGACATATTTATGGGGTACAGTATGCTAATTAAATGCTCGTATATATAATGTCAGTGACCAAATGAGGGTAACTAGTATTTCCTTGTTTTCAAACATATGTCACTTCTCTGTGTTGGGACCCTTTAGTGACTTTGAAACACAGATTATTGCAGACCATTGAGACTCTTCATGCTATGACACTCACGCAAACTCCTTTTATCTACCTCCATTTTGTCACCCACCATCTCACCTCTCTGTGTTTCCCCTCCCTCATGTCCTTCTGGGTGACCACTCTTTGCACTGTGTGCCTGTCTATTCCTAGATTATTTCACTCATTCTGATGTACTCCAATTCCATATGTATCATAATAAATTACAGAATTTCATTCTTTTTTTAAGTGCCTGGATAATACTCTATTGTATATATGTATACCGCATTTTCTTTATCATTTATCCATTAATGGGCATGTAGGCTAATTCTGTACCATGGTTCTTATGGATAGTGCTACAGGAAACATGAGAGTGCAGGCGTATCTTTGATGTGATGGTTTTACATCCTTTAGTTATATACTCAGTAGTGAGACTCCTAGATCATGTGGTAGTTGCTTTTGTCTGGTCAGGAACTTCCATACTATATGCCTTTATGACTGTGACAATGCCTAATACTCTCAACCATAAAACTTATCACGGTGTAATGTTTAGCTTCTATTTTTATGAATGCATATTTATGATTATTATACATTCTTAATGTTTCTTACACTCATTATCTTTAGCTGATAATGATTAGTGATTTCTATCTGAACAATTCCCACAATATTTGCAGAACGTCTTTGTTTTCCCTTTGTTTGTATGTCTACTATCTTTTTGATTATTCCTTTATCTTAATTATTTAAATCATAGTATATTTTATTATTTTTCTAGAGGTATTTTTAAATTATGTGTATATGCATGGGTATGTGTGTGGGCATGTGCACATGTGCATGCAGGTACCTATGGAGTCCAGAACGGAACATTGGATCACCTGGAGCTAGAGTTACAAGATGGTTGTGAGCAACCCTATGTGGGTGCTGGGAGCTGAATTCCTGTTCTCTGCAGAGCAGCAAGCACTGTTAACCACTGAGCTATTTCTCCAGCACTATAAATTATGGTCTGTTTTAGATGGCACCATTTATTGAGTAGTCTATTTTCTGAATAGTATATTCTTTTGTCACTGTTGCCTTTGTTATTTATTTAATATTCATGCATATATCTTGGGGGAATGCTTTTCTATTTCATTAGTCCATTTTTGTACTTCTGAGTCAAATAACCCACCATTGTAGTTACTTTGGCTTTAAGTAAAATATCGTTACAGCGTAGCAACTGTCTTTCTGGCATATTGTCTTTCTTTGTACAACTCTTGGATTTTCTTCTACAAAATAGTTTGGAATAGATTCCTGAAAAACAAGGAACATTTTTATTGTGAATCTGAAAAGACAGAATT